ATATTTTTTATATACTAAAATTATTACTCTGTGTCTAATATATGCTGCAAATATTTCCAGTTGTCATTTGTTTACATTTTGATTATTGGCTTTAATTTATAGATGAACAATATACATACTATATTCAATCCTTTTTAAATTCTTTTTTTCTTCTAAAGGGCTTCCCCACACCAATATTTTATTCCAGTTCTTCTTCCTATTTTTATGCTTAACACTTTAATTTTTCTAAATTTTTTTTGTGTTATGAAATCCATCTTAATATGTTTATTTCTAAAACAGACACTTTTGTTTATCTTGATATTAAAACTTCTATACATTTGAAATTAACATTCAGAAATTGAAAGAATAAGGAAAGTAATATTGTGTGAAATTAGGTCAAGATTTGCTTAGATACTAAATTAACCCGTAAGGGAATTGAACGTGTTTAATTGTTTTCTTTCACCACAGGGAACATGTTGTATGAAGAGCATGGTTTTATAATACTTAAAAGGATTATTAGAAAAATGATGTATTTTACTGGTCAGGTGTTTGTGTCTATACTTCGATGTGAATGCAAAATAGTAAATATAAAAGTAAATTAATTTAAAACACGTAGAATCTGATACAAACCTTACTCTTTTTCCACGTTATACATTACTTATACCTGTTATATTTTTCCATGAACTGTTTGGAATACTCTCAATTCCTAGAAACTGTTTTAAAGTGGAGAAGAGCACAAAAGATTATGTGTTAAAAGTACTTAATTTCCACCCAACCATTAAGAGATATTGCCAAAGAAAACTATTCAGAGCATTTTTCACTGATGGCGTTAGATATGTTATACCAGAATAATAATGATTCATTATTAAAATATGCAAAGTGTAATTTCTCAACAACATTTTGTGGTAGGAAGATGAGCTAGTACAGTAGTTTTCCTTATTAAATAATGTTTTACAAAAGTAATTGACATGGTTTGGCTGTATCCCCCCTCCAAATTTCACCTTGAATTGTAATAATTCCTACATGTCAAGGGTGGGGCCAGGTGGAGATAATTGAATCATGGATAAGGATCCCCCATACTGTTCTCCTGATAATCAATAAGTTTCACAAGATCTGATAGTTTTATAAATGGGAGTTCCCCTGAGCAATCTCTCTTCCCTGCTGCCATGTAAAATGTGTTTTTGCTTCTCCTTTGCCTTCTGTCATGATTGTGAGGCCTCGCCTACCATATAGAACTATGAATCCATTAAACCTCTTTCCTTTATAAATCACCCAGTCTCAGATATGTCTTTATTTGTAGTATGAGAGCAGACTAATACAGTAATGCATTTACACTGTTCAAAATATAAAAGGTACAGTTAAAAATATCTCAGCCTACCCATCATCTGCTCTACCCTCACCAAGCACTGACCTTAATTCTAGAAACAAATCTACAAAATCCTGGGAATAAAATTTCCGGGTCAAAGGTTACATGCTTTTCATAGATATGGCCAAACTACCTTCCACAAGAGGTACACAAATGTATGCTTCCCATCAGCCGTGTAGAAGAGTCTGCATTTTCCCACAGCCTTGGCAGCATAGTGTATTTGCAGACTTGAATTTTTGCCAGTGCAATAGATGAAGCTCTAATTTTCATTTCTCTCATTATTACCAAGACTAAGCTTCTGTTCATGCATTTAAAATCCTTTGTATTTTCTTTTCTGTGAACTGTCCTTATCTTTTGTCCAATTTTCTTTTGAATTGTTGGCCTTTTTCGTATTAACTTGCAGAAGCTCTTTTATGTGTTCGGAAAATTAGTCCCTTAACTTAGATATGAGTCACAAATATTTATTTTTCATAATTGTTCATTTGTTTTTGATTCTGCTTATGGCTTTTTTGGTCATGCAGAAGCTTTTGATTTTTTATATAGTCCAGTTTAGTGATATTTTTGTCTGTTAATTAAAGTTGTTTAACTTGAGGATACAATTTACTTTTTTTGTGTGGTTGACTACTATAGACATATACTGCTTCTTACATTGAAAAAATAATAATCCTGAATTTGGAAATTGCTTTTAACAAACTTTTGTTGAAGGTCTATCATATTTAGGAACAGAGCTTGTTTGACTCAGAAATCAAAGGTCAGTGAGAAGGATCGATGTAAATAAAAAGTTAAATAGCATGAGGTAAATGTTATGATGATGGGAAAGACAAGGTCTGAGAGGATAAACCTAAAGCAACGTCATAATTAAGCTGAAAATTTCTTCTCATGATAAGCTATCATTTCAGTATTCCAGATGTTAGTCAAATCTGACCCATTACACTGGTTTTTTTGTTTTTGTTTTTGTTTTTGTTTGGTCAGGAATTGTTTTACCTCTATTACAAGGAAGGGATAGTATGGGAGGATGATAAGGAAACCAGCAATCTGAGTTAAATGTTACACAGATTTCTGTGCTTATATATGAAGCCTAAATGAAACGTGAACAATTTCATGATAGATAAAAAGGAGTTCATCGCTCAGTTTTAGAGAGTTTGGGAAAATATGATGGCTATTATCTCAGTAGCTTCAGAGTCTAGAGGCTTTTAGAAGTTGTTAGTTGAAGCTGTAAAACGCTTTTTACATCTACTTGTGAGTAGAAAATGATCCAATAAAAATAAAATGTTTAGTTACCACCTTTAAAATTCTTGAAAAATAAGTTGAGGACATTATTAGATCATGTGTTACAGACGTAGGATTATATTTGTAACATCACCTAAATCTCACACACACACAGGAAAGTTCAGCACCACGGGTGTAGTTATGGATGTGAACTCACAAAACACAAATCGAGCAAAGAGAACAATATCTCAATTCATGATTCATGGACATTCTGTGCTACCTGAAACACGGTGCTTCTTTTGCCCAGCTCTCACTCACACAGGGAAAGGCTGCCAGGAATGAGAGACAAGATGTGTGCAGGTTACCTTCAACAGGAGCCACCACCTGTATTTCCCATCAATCTTTTACACCATTGTAGTCACGTGGATCCAAGGACTGTATTCCAACTGACAGCTCCCGCAATGAGGTGCAGTTCCACACAACAAAGGCAGGCCCAGCATCTCCCATTCATCTTAAAGTTAGTGTTTCCAAGGAAACAGTGCTGTGGGAGCCTAGGGTCAGTCCCAGACTGACCTGCAACAGTCCAGGCTGGATGTTAATCCTTTACTTATACATTCTCATGAATTTTTCACAACATATATGCATGCATTTACAAAGTGTTTCAATGTACATATTGTTTACATATACAATCTTGTTTAAAATTCATTTTTCTATACATTGATTTTTTTCTCCACAACTTTTTCTTTTTCATCTCCTAACTCTTGTATCCAATTAAAGAATGTACTTATTTAAAAAGTATCTAAAACAATTGTTCCAAAGCATGTGACATTGTTTATGTGACACACTAGTATATTATCTAGTTTATTTTTAAAATCTTCTCTATTATTATTTGTAATATTATATTATTATGGAACAGATGTATATTATAAAATTTTATTCATATTGCAGTATAATATTTTGTATTACAATGGTATTATTAATAGTCTCATAAAGAGCTATCATTACAAGTTTAAATTCTTTATTCTGGGTTGTTGGTTTCAACTCTTGACATTCTGAAGAAAATAGCTTCACTCTTGTTTATTCTGGCCCTTTTTTTTTTTTTTTTTTTTTTTTTTTTTTTTTTTTTTTTTTTTTTTTTTTTTTTTGTAGAGATGGGGTTGTTGCTATGATGCCCAGGCTCATCTCAAACTCCTGGGCTCAAGCAATTATTCTGCCTCAGCCTCCCAAAATGCTGGTGTTACAGGCATGAGCTACAGTGCCCAGCCTATCCTGGGTCTTTATTTACTTGTAAGCTTGAGCAATAATCACTACTATTTAATAACTTTATTGTCATTCACTATCATGCAGAGTATTGCTCTAAGGTATGTTCAGGGATGACTTTATTGAGTCCTAACAGTAATCCTATGAAGTAGATGTTATCATTGTCCCCAGTCTATAGAGGAGGCATTGAGAGTTAGAGAAAACTGGGCTAAAATGTTAGGCAAGAACTAGAACAAGAATTGAAATCCAAGTGGCCTAACTCTAGACCTCACAATGTTTAATACCATGTCATACTGCTTCCTAACCTATTTAATGATTTTTCAGCCCCAACATCATCATCCATGTGTGGTAGTGGGATCATAATAATATCTATATCATAGCATTGTTGGATGCATTAAGGAAGTCTACAAAAGTGAAACTTCCAAGGACGATGCTTGGCATACACTGATCTCTTAATAAAAATAACCTATAATCTTTCTGTTATAGTGTACTCTAATCCAAATATTCTTTTTACTTCCCATCTCAAGCACCTGCTTCTGTTTACTAGGACTCACAAACTATAGCTCACAAAAACATATAACTCACCAATTTTCCTTGTACATAAAAGGACTTCCTTTTACAGTCTTCCATGACATAAAAGAAAGCTAGAAGCAAGTATAGTAGAAGAAATGATTGCTATACAAACAAAATTATAGTTGGTTTGGTTTTAATTTTAGGATGCGCACTGAATAAAAATCACTCATTTGGGATTTAGAAGACCTGTGTTATATATCTGGTACTAATGCTGAATAACTTGGCTTATTCATTTTTATAACTACAAAGGAAGTGTGTCTGGCATATAATACACAACAGACCAGTATATTTAGTAACTGAGTGAATCAATGAAATACGTACTTCTTTACTTTATCAGTTGCAGTTGGCTTTGCATTTGTGTAAGGTGTGTGTTTTGCAATTCCAAAACGGCATTAGTTTCTTTAAAGCGAAGAATTTTTGTAGCGTGTTAATGAATAATTTCTAATACATTGGTTAAATACCAACATGTCATATATGTAAATAGTCAATATTATACTGCTAAAATAACAAAAATCAGTCAGATTCTGCAACATTTCATGATAAATAACTTTTGAAAATATATTTTTAAACATTTTGGCTTACGCCTTGAGAATTATTTACCTTTTTAAAATGTATTTTCCTTTCAGGTTTCCAGAGCTTTACCTGAGAAACAAGGAGAAATTGAAGCTCAAATAAAAGACCTTGGGCAGCTTGAAAAAAAGCTTGAAGACCTTGAAGAGCAGTTAAATCATCTGCTCCTGTGGCTGTCTCCTATTAGGAATCAGTTGGAAATTTATAACCATCCAAACCAAGAAGGACCATTTGACATTAAGGTAGGGACATGTTGCTTTAAATATTTTTTCTTTTTTGAGAAAAATGGCAATATCACTGAATTTTCTCATTCTGTATCATTACTAAGAAAAATTATGACTTGTTAAAGCATGGTAAGGAAGACTTTATTCAGGATCACCGCAATAGGCACGGGTACCACTGCAATGGAGTATTACAGGAGGTCGGGTGGAGAGAGATTGGGCTCAACTCCAAATACAGCACAGGGGAAGTAGGAATTTATAGCCAAGGAGCAGGGTAGGAGTCAGTAGATGGAAAATTAAGAGGAAACGTCAGGGGTAAGTGGGATTCTGGCTAAACCAACCTCACAGGATTCTTGCTGAAGATGGGCCAGGGTTATCAGACAACCCCCGGGGAATGGTAGAGAATACTGAGGATGATCAGGTACCAAGGGTAAAGGGTTCTTGCAAAACTGACAGCCTTCTTTGCTGAAACTGGATTTTACAGGGGAGTGCAAAGATAAGCCAAGGTGAAGGTTCAGAAGCCTGACTAAAGTTTAGTCAAGCAGGGAATCTTTGTCATCATCATCATCATTGTTGTCATGATGATAATAATAATTATTATTTTACTAGAATATGCTACTTTTTCCTCGACATTTACTAGAAATAAGGTCTTCATTAAATTCATATTACTAGAACGCCTGTGTCATATTTGTTACTATGATACATTTTCTATCCCTGTTTTAATTGTGCTTAATACATATTCATAGATTCCTTATCCAAAATTGAAGTTGTTTATGAGATTAGGTTCCTAAAATATAATGTCTGGGCTCTTTTGTAGACATTGTAAAGCCCTCTCAGACTGACTACACTTTACCTTTCTATCTTCTCATTCTGCCAGCAATCTCCCCATATAGTCTAGCCACATCAAATTACTTGGTAACTTTCCATCCATGTAATTTCATGTCATACCTGTGATCTTGATTTTCTCTGTTCTTTAAATGACTTCTTTCAGTTTATTTTGATATAACGAATTTTCTTCCATTTTTCAGGAATGAATTCAAAGTCATTGCCTCTTCCAAGTTTTCTTCCATACCCCAAGTAGAGTTAGAATCCCTTTTAGGATTTCTTATAAACCTCTTTATGCATCTCCCATTGTTCATATGTTGATTTACACTTAAATTTTATACATCTGAATATTTCATTACAAATCTGCACTGTTCTTTGAGTGCAGAAGGTATTCTCTTATTTATCTCTGTTTCTCCACTCATATCAAACACATTCAGTCCAGGATCCATTAAATGATGGTTACTTGTAAGTGTTTTTAAGTCAATGGATAAAGATGGTACCAGGGCACCCAGAATACTAATGAAATGCTGCAGGTAAGCATAGGGCTTTAGACAGTCCTGCCAATTGAACACCACTATCTCCTTCTTTTAGTGTCCTTGTAAATGCTGAAGTGATCCTCTTTTCTCCCTTTCAAGGAATCTATTCCAAAGATTCTCTCAATATGCTGCCCTGTTTTGCGTCTCCTTATTGGCCAAAATCTTTAAGTAGCCAATCAAATAAACCAAATCATTGAAATTACAATCTATTAATGAATGTATTGTTGGGCAACTTCAGAGTGAAAAAGATAAGTAACATTTTTGAGTAGTTTTTCTTTTAGTTAGTTGACTTTAATTGCTAAATTTATTTACTTTCCAGGATTGTAAAAACATAACATTTTCATCTCCATTTAACTGTTGTTTTGCTAGAACTGAGAGCAAAGGAAAAAGGAAGTTTGAGAATATTCTAGTGAAGAGGAAGTAAAAGTTTGGGGAAGATGGGCATGAGTGACAATAAGGAGATAGAGAGAAGTTTGCTACAACTAAAATGAGTTAGATTAGCAAAATGTTCTCCACTATGTTTACCTTACTTCCTCCTGACACTTATGTCTACCATTCTGATACCTACTCCCCAAGAGCAGATGGCACTGTGGAAGTCTCAAGTAGACATCATTTCACCAGGACAAAACTCAGCCTGCTCAGCCAGTGGCACAGTCTTGGGTTCAGTCTGATGATTAAGTTTATGAGACACAATAGGCTTTACACAATAACAAATTTAGTTAGCTTTAAGAAATTATACAGGATGGGTAACAAAAGCCTGCACATTAAAGGCACAGGGGAAGTCTTGATACTGAGACGTGGCTTCTGATGTCCCACTGCCCTGCATTTTAGTCATATGTGATCACAAGAGGCAAGACTGGGTGAGTACAAAACACATCATCATCTCAGGGAAGCCATCAGTTCTAGGATCCTGACCATTTCTCCACTTAGCTAGTACATAATGTACGCAGAGGTATTTGACTAGCTCCTATTCACCAGTACAACTACATCTCATGAATACTGATTTTTCATTGCTCAATAAACAACCCCAACAGGAAAGTGCAGTTACTTGGCCCGATACACAATAACCTTAGCCAAATTCTCAATTATCTTATATCCAGTATATTCTTAAAAAGTAATTGATGTAATATTGCAAAGAGGAAAGGCCATAAAGTCTTTCCTCCCAACCAGAAATAGCTTTTTGTAGCTCACGGTAAAAGCACATTCTACTCTTTTAAATGCAATCTTTGGTTAAAATGTGCCTCTTTATTATAATAATTTTAAAAATACTCAATGCTAGCTATCTCTCTTCCTGGAATACATTTAAGAAAAGATTTTTTTAAATCCCTTGGTACAAATAGATCCTGTTGACTCAACCAAAATGACTTTAGTCCCAGTCTGTGCCCCCCAGAATGGTTTTCAACTACTGAAAACCCGCATTGGGTCTTTAATTGTCTATGGCCCATAGGGTTCTGCCAAATGGGTCCCTGCAGTTTGAAGTGAAAGCCATGCTCGGTTGTGTTAATCACTTTTCTTTATCAAAGCTACAAGTCGTCACTCTCACTGCTGTGTATAGTTTCTGAGAGTCATGATATTTGCCTCCTGCAGCTTGTTTTAAATCACTGAGGGGAGAGGGAGCTGCTTTTTTCCTGGCAGAAAACTCCTTGGCTTCAGTCCCTTGAGCATATTCCGAGATTTTTATCTCTGGAGTGCAGATTTCAAAAATACTCTTTTAGCCTTTTTCTTCTGCTTGTGGCTGTGTCCAAGGTAGGGGGAGGGGAAACATAAAATCATAGATTTGATGACTTGAGAGTTTCTCCCAATAATTCTCAAACCCCTAGCTTATAATTAGGAAATGGTGACCTGTGTGAATAATAATTTACCTTGTTTTTTTATCCCTCTTTGTCTAGCTTCCATTCCTTGTCACTAATAAATGATTTATTAAGATTGCACAGGTTTTCTGATTTAAGATATGGGATATTAGTCCTTACAGCCTGCTGTATTCCTCTGTTTAAATGAATTAAACTATTTTTCCATTAAAGAAAGATGGGACACTAGACTTTGCTTTACTTAGTTTCAAACTATTGAACACCAAAAATAAAATGTTTGAGGAGTTTTGAGCCCATGCTCTTTTTTTTTAACACAAGGAAAAAAAAATTGCCTTTAATAAAATCTTAAGAAAGAGTTAATGCAAAGAAAGTAGATCTACAAACAGCCACACCCCTAGCTCCAAATCCTAAATGTAAAGAAACTTGCTTTGTCTGGCCATGGTGGCCATGGCTGCCTCAGAAACAAAGGGTCTGAGGCCTTGCCATTCGGGTAGTTTGTTTTCTCTAGTCAAACTCTGAGCACACCTGTTAGAAAAATATGTAATATCCTCTGTGAACCTCGGTTTTGTCCGCTTGGTACTTCACGATTATTGATGAAATGCAGCTAGCTGTGTAATGAAACCCAAATAAAAAAGGCTTTAAGGGCTGTGTTCTAATACATTGTTTATGCTGGAGTGAAAATTGACTGCACATTGCTTGGTTTGTGCAATTTACTCCTGAAATATTCCTATTCAGGAAATCCTGCAAATAGCAATATTCATCTTGAAAATCACCTCACAGAACCCTTAGCAAGCTGAGAAACATAATCAATGAGATCGTGATGTAGAGGGTGAAAATTAGGCGTAATCACAGCCCTTTCCCATCAGTCAGCCCACTAGAAGGCATGCCTTTGAATTTTGATTTTCAGATATACTCTCAGTTTAGACATAAAATATGTTGATTTCAGATTTCAGAAATGATAATTGAATGCTAAGATCCCGGGACCAGTTTAGAATTTCTATAAAGGGTCTTATGTTTTTAATCTTTGATGAATGCCTTCAATAATGAGCTAGAGGTATACTATTTATCTGACATAAGACTGACTACTGCTTTCCAAACTTTTTATTTAAATATGAGGTGTGGTAGGGCACATAATTTTATGTTAAGGCTTAGTGACTGAAATGCCTTCATCTTAATCACAGGGAGGGGTTTTTTTCCTCCCCTCTAGAATCACTTTCCTTGTGTGGTTTATAAATGAACATGACATGTGGCTCTGCTGGTTCTTCCTTATAGTATAAGGAACATAATTGTCCATAATGTCAAATCCATGTTGAAAACTACCAAAGGACTCAATTGTAGTGACTGATCATTAAAGTCATTGAACACTGCATGCGTTCACACTGCTGTGAGTGTTGTCAAAGCAAAATTGCACTAGACAACAGGCAAGAAAGACTGTGTTCAAAACTTTTGCAACAGAGGAGAGAGATTGAACTCAATTCTGCTGAAACAAAAGGCAGGAAAACCTTTAAGTGCTGAGATTAGTTAGTGGGAAAGTACTAGATATCAGGAGGGAGGTTAGGCAATGTGCTTAGTTAGGCCATCTGTGTTTGCTGATTGGCACTTATCAAAGATAGATTCCTATCCTCCCAACAGAAGACTAGCAGATAGGGGTGCTGTCTTTTCGGATGATTCTATATCAAAGTGCTAGCTCCCAAGTCCTTGAGAAAGTTTATTCCTGAGGTATAAAAGTGGCCAGAGGCTAGGAGAATATTTATATCTCAAAAAAGTAGAGAAATAATTTATAAAGTTTTCTAGAGTAAATGCTCTAAGAAAAGGAAGGTCAGGTCTAATGTCAGGAAGAAATTTGTCTCAA